CTTTACTCTGAGTTGTCTGTATGGAATGTTCTTGCATAATTCCTTGACATGCAGTTTCTATCTTCTAAAGTAGCCCCCAACAACTTGAAACGTGCCCATTTTAAAAAGCAGCAAAAGTGGAGCACTAGTGTAGTATCGGAACATACCTCCCTGAAAACGCGTGGCTTTACAATCCTAAAGAAATCACCTCTCCCCATCTGTTGCTAAGTGAAAGCTCCACAGTTGGTGTACCCTATTGAAAGGTCAACTATACTGTTTATTCTCGAGTACAAAGTACTGTTAAAGCACAAAAGTAAACAAGCTGATAAAAGGAGATAAAGTTTTATTTCCTAACCTTCCAAATGCACTTTTTTTTAACCTTTCATAATAAGTAAGTATAGCAGGTAAAAACATTCAGACATCTGCATTTTCTATAAATAAATCAACAACGTTACTTTAAGATTTTACTTTTACTTTCTTCCATGAAGTCAATCTTCTCACTTGACAATAATCCTTTATTCTATACGCAGTGAGACAGCAAACTGCCAAATGTTTGAATAAATACCAGGGTTTGAGTGGAATACTTAAGTCAAAAGACTACTATCTTAATTTTATTATTTTATTTTACATTTTTTTTTTAAATTGTTAAAAAAAAATGCTACTACATTCAGTTGTAAGAGATAAGGAAACAAATCACCAAGATGTGACTATCTTGACAGAACAATAACATTTTTATTACTGTAACCCTATTCTTTTCTCAGCCCAGGACTTCCTTATAATTTTTTCCTTTCTGTACCTGTCCCATTAGTTTAGATTTTTTCTTTTTTTTTTAAATAGTGTCCATCTTGAGGCAATTTTATAGCATGATTTTCAGAGGGCAGATACATAGCACTTTCTAAAAACTGAATTTCTTCAAGGTCTTGTGTTGAACTTCCAACTTTAGGCATCCAAAAAAAAAAAAATCTAGTCATTTAAAAAAATTTTAGCCACTAAGTCCAATTGTTAATTATAGGGATGGTGTATTTCTATTTGTCCTGCCATACAAACAGATTTCCAGGCTCAATATACCAAATAAAATTATTCCATTTTTTTCAAGTTCTTACTTAGAAGCTCCCACAGTCCAAGTGAATAAACAGTCTATAAATTCAATGGTAATGTTTTTATTGAAGCAGGAGACAGCTTTTTAAATGAACATGTGGTATGTATCCTATACTGGCAGAGATAAGCAAGTCATGTGAAAGGTACTCATTCTTCAGGCAGCTCTAGAAGACTAAATAATCTTTAAATTCTGGAAGTGCCCATATAATAAAAAAATTCAAATCTCAGAATGTCTACAGCTGACTTGTTTACAAGTCTTTTCTCTCGAAGTAAGATTGTGTAACAATAATAGAAGCTCAGGTACAATAAAGTATCTCAAACTTTGCATTGAGTAGAGTTGGGTGGAGATTTTACTTTATAAAATGACCAATTCCACAGACAAAAAATAAATAAAAAAATAAAAAAAAATACACACACACCCACCCACCCACCCGGTGTTCATATTTTTTAAATTTATTTTTAAAAAGAGCAACACTCCTTCAGTGGATGTGTATAATTTCCTTTATGCACATACAATTCAAGCCTAGAACGCAGCTCATATCATGACTAAGCATCTGTATGCCATAAAAGATAATTTAATTAAGCAAGTCAATTTGCTAATCTCAGACTGTATATAATTTACTGGACCCAGCTAATGTCTTCCCACCCCAAATTTAAAAATCTGGAAGTAGATTAATTCCATTTTCTGTTTCCTCATGATGTAAGCCTTATTGGTAGAAGTTTAAATGCCTGTTCAATGCCAAACCATGGCATGAAAAAGCCAGTATTTGCCTAGGCATAACCAGGACAGAATTTTCAGTGGTTTATTTTGACTGATTTTGTTTCCCATCGGTTGAAGGTAAACAGCAAGACAGATTAAAAAAAAAATTGAGTTTAAAAAACTTTTTTTTTAAGTGATTAAACTGGGATAAATTTGAAAAATATATAAAAGGGAACTTACCCAGAAGTGGCATAGGTTGGCTGACAGGAGCAGGCATAGGTTGGCTGACAGGAGCAGGTACATTAGTCGGTGCTACTGGTGGAGGAACAGTTGCATACATTTTGGAACTGTCACTAGTTTCAGAATTTCCTCTAGATCCAGAAACCACTGTTGGAATAGGATTTCCAACAGATGCATCCTTTGTAGTGTCTTCACTTACACCAGTCGCAGTAGCTAAGGAACAAATTACATTAGTGTAAAGAAGTTAATATTATTTTTCCTGCATGCATACAATTTTCTCTCTCTAGTTACCTTTCTCAGCTTACAAACACTTACAGTTTGGGATGTTTACAGGCGGAGTGTGAGGAACAGATACAGGAACAGAAACTGGAGGGGTTATAGGTGGTGGTGGCCCAGGAGGAAGAAAACCTATACAAAAACCAGGAAGGGATCAAGTTTAACACTACATCATACTTTTACATTATGTGTTAATTCTGTAGTTTCACTCAGACACTTTTAATGATTACTGGATTAAACTAAAGTATATTTTCTGGAGCCTTCTATATACCTGGTGGCAAATGCATTGGGTTGAATCCAGGTCGTAAAAATGGAGGTGGTGGTGGGGGAGGAACCCCAGGGGCAAATCCAGGAGGTGGGATTCCCATTGGAGCAGTGAAAGCAGGTGGCTGGAGCGCACCAACTACAGGAGGGCCGGATGGGTGTGGCGGAACCTATGAAGAAAGGTAAGAATTACCCTCAAAATTAAAAATGTCCATATATAAAAATGACCATATCGCATTTAAACAAGGAAAACATCTGTGGTTAATGAACTGAACTGACTGTTTCTGGCTATCATGCGATTCAAGTTTTTATTAATCTATCACAACTTTCATATCCAGTTTTCATTTAAACATTATAAATACAAAACAAACAAGCAAGCTTTCCTGCATTTTTCTCAGCTTTAAACAAACAGAACTGAACTAAACTGAAGTGAAGAAAGTGTTCTTTCTGTAACTGCCGAAAAGACTACTTCCAGGTAACTTACCAGTAAGTTCCCCCAGTTCAGAAGTTTAACTTTGTTTATAAAACTTGAGCAACAGTCACTGTTCTGCTTAATGTTTAAATCAACTGAATAGATAAATCAGTTTCAACTTCTAGGGGTGTACAATGGATCCATATCGGCCCCCAAAATCTCTAATTTCCAATAAGGCCACCTCCAGCTGTTAAGTCTGGTGTGGTGGAAGAAGGGAAGGGGCATGAAGAGGGCAGATCAATGCCCCCCGCAGTGAGGGAGAGGGCAGGGGTAGGCAGGTGGCGCGGCATGTACCTCCCGGATCTGCGTGGGGATCTTCTCAGCAGGGGCTGGGCTCAGAGCAGGTGCCAGTGGTGCTGGGAGAATGCTGTATCCACCCCAAATTTCACTGTTGCTCCACTCCCAGCGCTGCCACCACCAACCAGCTGGTGCAGCCCCGGCTCAATGCCCCGCCCTCCACCCACGCACTGGGAAGAGCTGGGGCTGCGCTGGGAGTGGAGCAGCAGCAAAATCTGGGGTGGATACAGCATCCTCCAGGCCTCATCAGCACCTGTTCCAAGTCCAGCCCCTGACAGAAGAGCCCCACGCAACCTGCCCCACCCTGATCCTTTGAACAGAAAGTCCTTTTTTTTTTTTGGTTCGTTTCACACAACTGAAATAAACAGAAAAATGAAACAGAATACAGATGGGCGTGATTTTACTCAAACACGGGAACAAAAAAGACCAGTTAAATTACATCTGAGTGAACTATGAGCATATATTATATATATATATGGCACCATCTTAGGAAGGAAAGCTTTTCCTTTTGTATATTCAGTCACATCAGCCCATTTGAGTAGTACAAGTAGATAACAGGATTACTATTATTCCTAAAAGCAATACAGTTACTGTAGCCAAAGAGCTGAACTACAGTACTTAGGCATAAAAACTGTTTTATTAAATTCAAACTATAGGACCATTTAAAGCTGTGACGCGCCATCTAAAACAACTAGGCAGACTATGCTTTACCGACCAGACTGGGCTGGGAACCACCCAACACTGTGAATGTGAAACTTGAAAAAGAGAAGACCAGCTCAAGCCCCAAGTCCTAGGCTGAGGTTGCATGGTTTACCAGAAATAAAAGCTGGTATTTTTTGTCATAGATTTTTGCCATCTCCAAGTCTGCCAAAAAAAAAAAAAAAATGTGCAAAAAAATGTTGCTAGTAGATGACATTAGCTGGTATTTTGCTGCCATAAAATGAACATACTTGACACAGAGAGCTCCATTATTTATGTCAATAGAACTGTTTTCTGAATAACCTTTTTTAAAAGGCAACATAGGTTTCTTTGAGAATATACTTGCACTGAATTACATGAACTACATGACCCAACTTAGTTTTTGTTACAAAACATTATAAAACTTAACCTTTATTTACATTTCCTTGCTGTAATGGTTATATTCCTAAATCCTAAGACAAAAATTTCCCCTTTTTAATAAATCAATCACTCAGTTATGTGAGTTATCCATGTCTTGCTAATGTAGACAGACCTTTACTTGGTGTATTTACTAGGGCTGTGTGAAGCTTCAGTCACTGATTCGATTTGGAGGAGATTCAGCCTGATTTGGCAGCCGAATCTTCAAATCCAAACTGAATCAGGAGACCCATTAATCTCTCCGAATTGAATCAGAAGCCTCTGAATCAATTTGGAGAGATTCCACAATTCCGCCATAGACACAGCTTTATATGTTTTTTCTACATACCTCAAGGTACCAGGTGCAGCTTGTGAACACTGAGATGGTGGAGTGGATGGAGCGTCCCACAGGAGCGCCGGCGGGGGGGGGACACGACGTGCATGTCAGCAGACCCAGAAGTGGACCACAAGTATTTCCAATCCAATTCCAGGTCTACCGCTAAGCACGCGGAGGACCCCACCCTACTCCTGTGAGACGCTCCATCTACACCACCATCTCAGTGTTCATGAGCTGCGCCTGGTACCTCGAGGTATATAGAACACCCCCCCCAAACCTGTGTTTATGGCCGAAATCGCCGATTCTCCAAATCAGAATTGAATCTTCAGCTTCAGATTCAAATCCAGCCAAATTGAAAATCGGGACAGTGATCTGAATCAGTGAACTGAATCACTGTCCCCTGATTTGGGCTGAATCCGAATCGAATATGACCCGCTTTGTACATCCCTAGTATTTACCTTTCAATCAACATGTTATTTATAATAATTGTTGTGGTTTTACATTTGAATAATGTGCCGTACCTAAAAATTCAATACAAGGAACCCACACATCAACATACAGTTTTTTTCCCCACCCACTTATTTAATTTTATTTTAATGTATTAATTTTCTATTGCCTCTACACATGGACAAGAAGAGAAACAGATGTGAATCGTATCAACGAGGAACTGGAGAGTATTTCCTTCCCTAATTTTAAAATGCAAGCCATACAACTTTCAGCACATACATCACTGAAAGTTAAACTTCTTTTAAGATTTAAAAGATCCCCAACAGATGTGTCAGAAAACTGCATGCAGTTGTGAACCATTACTGGACTTCTGAACTACCCCCTCCAAGTAAGAAATGAAACACAGTAGAGAATCCACATGAAAGTACTGATTATAGCTTTTGACCTTTTGGGAACACATTCGGACAAAAAATGCTGGATTTCGATGTCCTAGAACAGGGGAGGCAAACTTACCTGGCCCCATGGGCTGGATGAGGTCGGCTAGGCTGGTCTGAGGGCCAATGTTAAAGCCACATACAGTCCCCATGGTTCTAGGTCCAACCTGCACACTGCCTGGAGCACACGCCAACTCTACTTTGCCACGTGCACTGCACACAACATGCAGTCTGGACCTGGAGCTGCATATGGCACAGGAAGTCCAGGGCAATCTGCATGCAGCGCCCCACTGAACTGGCCAGTCCAGATCAAGCCGTAGGACATCCATATGCACCAAAGCCAGTGTGCAGTGCCAGTCTGGCGGGGTACCAGATGCTACGCTGGACCCCCTGTGCCGTGTGCAACACCAGATCCATCCCATGTGCAAAGCAAGCCCCGGAGTGGAGTCAGTGTGTGCTGCATGCAGTGTATAGGCTAGACTGTGCATGCTGCTGGACTGGCTTTGCACAGTAGCTCTGGCATGGCCCAATCCAGACCAAAGCATGGGGCTGGGGCCAGTGCTTACCCTATCTGGTACGTGGGGTTGGTCCAGAGACCCACAGGCCAGATCATAAGGGTCCACGGCCATAAGTTTGATGCCCTTGCTTAGTTTCTCCAACTATGGTAAGACGTTCACAGGATAACAAGTTTTTAAATACCACTATTATACACAATTGCTAGCTACGGACTACAAAAACTCTTTCCACTTTAAAGCCTGACATTTGAAAATAGTATAGTTTTATAGTTTCTAGGGTTGGAAGGGACCTGGGCAGATCATCTAGTCCGACCCCCTGCCATGGCAGGAAAGAGTACTGGGGGTCAAACGACCCCAGCAAGATGGTCATCTAACCTCCTCTTAAAAACCCCCAGGGTGGGAGCCTGCACCACCTCACTTGGAAGCTGGTTCCAGACCCTAGCCGCCCTGACCATGAAGTAGCGCCTCCTGATGTCCAACTTAAACCTTCCCTCCGCCAGCATGCGTTTCATTATCCTATTAGATTAAGAGAGGACCTAAAGCAACCTAAACAACTTTGTACAGAAAACCCCACACAGATTTATCCATTTTTTGAATATTTAAACCAATTCCATTTTTTTAAATGGAGGCAGGGTTCCAATATTGCCTGTTCCCGAGTCTGCCTGCCATTTTGTGGTCTACTGATCACATTTCCTAAGTTAAAAAAAAAAAGCATTCTTTTGTCCTCTTACTTTAAGAAAAACCCAAAGTAGGGAACACTTGGAAGTTTTACAAATGCAACTAGCAATACACAGATGACTGCCAAATAAGCAAAGTAAAGGTGAAAGAAAATTACTTCTTCCTCATCACTTTTTTTTTTTTTTTTTTTTTTAACACTTATCTTAGGCATCACAACTGCCAGTATTGGTATACATTTCAGACTGATGTCATTTAAGTCACTGTCTCCTTAACTAAGGGGAACACTATCAATGTAAACTATACAAGCATTATTGTGTACCAAAACTAGAGTTCAGAAATTTGAATGACTTAAAGACTACTCACTGAGATGTACAAAAGTATTCCAGTTATGTTCAGATTTTAGAAGTACTGTATCTTATTTAAGTTAATAAGTTGGTTTATAAACAGTACATTGAACAAGCCAAGGCAGTCTGTGATAAACTAAGACTGAAAGATCATGACCTCTCTAGTTAAGAAAAACCTTGCGATAATTTTCACTGAAACAAAGCTTACGTAAAACAGGTAATATGCCTCAAGGAAAGATTTCCTAGGCATACTTAAAGCATCATCTTCTTTTATGATCTTAGTATAAGTTTGGGGTGGGGGTGAGCACAGTTTAGGGATGAGATGAGCATCCAACAGTAGCAAAAGAACAAGATAAGGACTATTTAGAAAAGCTGGATGTGTACAAGTCAATGAGGCTGGATAGGATGCACCCAAAGGTGCTGAGGGAGTTAGCTGACATGACTGAAAAGCCACGGGCCATCATCATGATGATTGAGAGAGGTCCCAGACTATTGGAAAAGGGCAAATATAGTGGGGCCAGCTTTAAGAAAGGGAAGGAGGTGGATCTGGGGAACTACAGACAGGTCAGCTTCACCTCAGCCCCTGGAAAAATCATGCAGCAGGTCCTCAAGGAACCCATCTCTAAGCACTTGGAGGAAAAGAAGGCGATTAGAAATAGTCAGCATGGATTCACTAAGGGAAACTCATGCCTGACCAACCTGATTGCTTCTATGAGATGACTGGCTCTGTGGATGCGGGGAGACCAATTGATGTGGTATACCTTGACTTTAGCAAGGCTTCTGATATGGTCTCCCACAACATCTCGCAAACAAGCTAAGGCAGTATGGGTTGGAAAAATGGGCTGTAAGGTGAATACAAAGCTGGATGGACCACTGGGCTCAAAGGGTAGTAGTCAATGGCTCAATGTCTAGTTGGCAGCCAGTATCAAGTGGAGTGCCCTGGGGGTCAGTCCTGGGGCTGGTTTTGTTCAATGTCTTCATCAATGACCTAAAAGATGGCACAGAGTGCACCCTCAGCAAGTTTACATCAAGATGACACCAAGTAATAGATACACTAGGAGGGTAGGGATAGGATTCAAAGAGACCTCAATAAATTGGAGGTTTGACCCAAAAGAAATTTCATGAGGCTCAGTAAGGACAAGTGCAAAGTCCTGCACTTAGGACAGAACAATCCCATGTACCGCTGCAGGGTGTGAACCAACTGGCTAAGCAGCAGCTCCGCAGAAAAGGATGTGGGGGTTATATAGTGGACAATAAACTAAATATGAGCCAACACTTTAACCTTGTTGTGAAGACTGAACGGCATACTGGGCTGCATTAGTAAGAGCACTGCCAGATTGAGGGAAGTGATTATTCCCTTCTATTCAGCACTGGTGAGGTCACATCTGGTGTACTGTATTCAGTTTTGGGCCCCCCACTACAGAAAGGATGTGGACAAATTGGGGACAGTCCAGCAGAGGGTAACCAAAATAGCAAGGGTGCTGAGGGACATGGCTTATGAGGAGAAGCTGAGGGAGCTAGACTTAATGAGTCTGGAGAAGAGAAAACTGAAGGGGGATTTAATAGCAGCTTTCAACTACCTGAAAGGTGGTTCAAAAGAGGATGGAGCTAGACTGATCTGTGGCAGCAGATGATAGAACAAGGACAATGCTCTCAAGTTGCAGCAACAGAAAGTTTAGATTGGATATTAGGAAGAACTCTCTCACTAGCAGGGTAGTAAAACAATGGAACAGGTTACCCAGAGAAGTTGCAGACTCTCCATCCTTGGAGTTTAAGACCAGGGTAAGACAAAGCCTTGTCTGGGATCATCTTGTTGGGGATGCTTTGGGCAGCGGGTTGAACTAGATGACTTCCTGAGGTTCCTTCCAACCCTAATTTTCTATGATTCTTTGATAAAACTTAATACAACATCCAAGTAATTTTGGTACATTCAGTCACTGTCCAATGCCACATTTTGAATTCAGTATCTACAGATGTAAGCACTAATAAAGTCCTTAGTACAGCCACATTATCAATATAGTATTCACTCTCACTTCCTGCAGCTTCTATGGTCTTTTACGTTTTTTGTTAATTTGACTTGGCTTAGCTGCTGAAATCAGACCACCTGCTTTCTCTTGACTGGACCCAGAGGTCTGAGACTAGATAAGATGCATTTTTTCCAACATAAGAAAGTTAAAGCTTTATCATCAATTAGTTGTCCGACTTGAATGGTCTTTCCTCTGCCTTCATGTCACACAAACAGCCTACACTCCTAATCAGAAAAGGCACATCAGGATACAAAATAAAGAAAATTATTTATAATGCCATGCAGAACTTCTCCCCTCTAACTCATGAATGAATATGCTGAACTTTGATTTTAAGTAGCCTTCTAGTTACAGATGTCCAGCCACGAAGGGAAAAAAAAAACAACAAAATCTCACCTGTGGAGGAGGCACGGTTATTGGTGCAGGCATGGGAACAGGAATTGGAACAGGTAAAGCTTTAGGTATTGGTGACACTGGCTCAGTATGTGTGGTTTCTGCACCTCCATTTTGAGCAACTTCATTCTCAGATTTCTTGGGAATTCCTTTCCACTCTGAAAGAAATGAATAGACACTGTTTCAGCTGAATTACTACAAACCATACTCACCGTCAAACATCATTAACTAGAGCCACTGTGAATTACTTTTGAAAGTTTAAATTTTGCCACAAATTGGTGATTTGTTCAAACTGATGTTATACAGCATTTCATATTTAGATGGAAAGTTATGCTTTTTTGCCTCAAACTAATGAAAATAATGCCAGTTTTAGAGTGGAGTTGTTTGGAACAAGTTCTAGTCAAGAAATGTAGTTATTCCAGGGCAAAGGAAAGTAGTTTTCGCTCTATGATAATCATTATGTTAGGGGTAATGATCTGTATAAGTCCACACTCCTGGGCAAATAAAAAGAAGGAGCCAGTCTGGCAGCATGCAATAGAACAGCAATATTAGTTACAGCCCCCCCAATGCAATTTAAAATGAAAACGTATTTTGGAGGCTCTATTGACCATTAATGTTTTCCATGAAAGGAGACAAGGGGAAACCAAAGGAGATGACCAGCAAGACAAACCTGAGGAATGGAGAAAAGCAAGGTATCAATTAAGGAGAAAAGCAGGAAGAAAAAGAAAACAAGAGGTCAGGAAAAAAAACTCTACAAGGATAAACCCAGGCATTCATATATTCACTATTTGTTTTTGTGTATCCATAATGGCTAACTGGACCAAACAATGTTTAACAGCAGTGGATCAACAATGCTAGTTCACCACACACAATGGCAGAACGTTAAAAAAAATCCTAATGTCCTAATTACTAGCTCACAAACCAAGAAAGTAACCTTCAAATTTAAAATGTCTTGTATTTAAATACAAGAAATGTAAAACTCTAGAACTATTGGTTCAGAGAAGATACCTTTAAGACCAACTAAGAAATTGCCAAAAAAAATTTTTAAGTGTGTTTTTAATACAACATACTTGTGCTAATAATGCTGTAATAATTAGTTTGAAAGCCGTAATAATTAAGCAAGCTTAATTAAGCAACTGTGTGTGCAACTGACCTCATGTGGCTTACCGCAAATGATCATTTTCTTATTATATGTAAAACAAATGTGTATTTATAGTGCACATTTATAGAAATATATGGGTACAGCTTAGTTGAAATCAAATACAAAAATATCACCAAAATAATGTTAAAACTAATATGGAAGCCATAATAGAGACATTTATGAAAACATACCATTCGCAGGTCTACTGAGAAGTATAAACCCAAGAATTTATCTGAAGAGTTTTAAAATCAAGTTATATTTTACCTGGACTAAGCGTTTCATTATCCAACATTCCTCCTTCACAGAAACTTTCAAGATCTTCAGGCTTAACTTTGTCCCAGGGAATATAGGTAACACCTAATTCTACATCCCAATACTGTTTATAATCTGGTTTAATTCCTTTATTTAAAGCCCATGCGATCTTAAAGAAAAAGAAATGGATAGTTAATGAGTAGTTTGTGTTTTAAGTTTGCTCAGGACTAACTCCTCTCTAAGTTGAGTAGCATTCAGCATCACAATACAAGTTTGATATCATGAATCAAAAGATACCACAGACAACTGAAACCTAATTAAAAGTTTAGACAAATCATAATCACTTAAGAATACAGTTATCTGAAGTGGAATTAAACCAGGACTTCAGATCTAATTCTTATATAGATTTGGCAAAAGATGCTCCCACAACCTACTACTTGCCTTAGAGTTTTGAAAGGCTTATGTACAACAGTGTAAAACCCCCTAAAAGCAAAGAAAGAGCATTAAATATTTGTAAGTATTACCTGAACTAGATACTTACTGACCAGCAGAAGCTGCATAGTAATTTGCTCTAATCGTGAGTAAATTTGCTACCTGTAAATACACACAGCAAATTTACTCACAATTACTTACTATACCATACGGCACATGCAGATAGCCAACCAGGAGTAAACTTGCTCCCAGTCAGCAGTGGCCAGGAGATTGCTCCTTGCCCGCAGGAGCTGCCTGCTGCTAAGGTACTAGAGTCCAGGCAGGGACAATGTCCTTGTGCTCCAGCAGCAGGGAGTTCCCAGGCCCCGCTCCCAGATTGTGATTGCCATCCAGTTGAGAGCTTGCTGTCAGCTGCCCCACCGACACATTGGGGCAGGGGGCTGAGATTGGAGCCTGATTGGGCTCCCCTGCAGGTTTAAGTGCCTTGGGGCCCCAATCAGGGAGCCAGGGCCAGGTGCACCCTGCTGCCGAGGAAGGGGGATATTGTTCCCGCTCAGGATCCGGTGGCAGAGCCCTCCCCAGCAACAGGCAGCCCCTCCCCAAAGGCAGGGAACACTCTCTCAGCCCCCACCAGGAGACAGCTGTCCCCCAACCAATGTTCCCCACCAGCCCCTGGGCTAGCAAGGAGCTCCCCCTAGCTGCTGCAGAGGGCCAGGAGCAGACTATTGCCAAGAGCAGATCTGCTCCCGCATCCCTGCACATTTAGACACATGCCTGGGGTGGGTTTACTCTAGCATAATTTACTCTAAAGTAAACCCACCCTGCAGCATTTGCACATGTAGGCATACCCTGAGAAGTTAGCTTGATAACTAGTTAACAAAAATCAGACCTTCAATTGTCTCTCTCTAGGAAACAGCCCTGTTAAGATGATCAAAAGGAAGAATGTAACTTTATTTAGTCCTGTGTTCTCTACAGGTTTCCCATTCAACAAAATTCAATCTTCTTGGGTTTTTTTTCTTGTAAACTTTTTTTTTTTTTTTTTTTTTTTTTTTTTAAGTATACACACAGTCTATTTTAACTATTATAAAGAGAGTTTCAAAAAGGCATCCTTTTTGTCAATGTGAGAGAAATCCTTAAAAGGGAATGGGTCCAAATTCATTGTTCAGCTGAAGTTTACTCTCCAACAACCAAAATAATTATGTCATTCGTCTAAAAGATACCCAATACAGTATTTGACAGTTTAACAGCTAAAATATAAAATAAAGATTGTAAATTTTAGAACTGAATCAATTTCAAAATTCTTTTCGAAAGTGATACCTTTATAGATTTCTGATTGACTTTGAAGTTGCCTCGGCTCAATTTTTGTAGGGCACGATAAGCATCTTGTCTGTGAACCATTACAATATAGGCACATCCTCTAGGTGGTATCATCTGTCACAATCACAAACATAACATTACTTAAGCTTCTGCACTGACAGAACAAAAGCAAGCGATAGCACACATTTCATCTGTTGCATGCTTCAACATCAGCCTTACATTACAAGAAGTACTATGGGTGAATAAGAGGGCATAAGCAAGCTAATGCACAATAGTACCCTTTTATTAAAGTAAGTGTGTTTACATTTCACATGAAGAAAGGATGCCGACTGTTAAAGGAAGCTTGCCACTAATACATGAACACTTTTTGCCTCGGTCTTCCCAAAACTTAATTCCCAACTAATCTCCATTTTCACTTTCCTTTGCGTAACAATTTCCAATATATTTGAAGAAGAAATGTTCTTCTAAATTTGATAAATTTCAATGGACAGAAGAAAACAGGTGCCATGTGTTATGGATTTTTTAAAAGTTATTTATTTTTAAAGAAAAAGTTTACTACTACTGTAAACACCATTTCCATTTAAAAAAAATTCAATGCAGCAACGTTGTCATGGATCCTGCCATATGCTTAAACACAGTAGGAAGGAAAACACAGCAGTAGGGTGTTCACACAAAAATTTCTACAATCAAGGGTCTAAATATCACTAATATGGAAGCAGGCAAATGGAGGACAGAATCTGTCTGACGCATATTATGCGCCTCCTTAGCCCATTAGCCAAAGCAAATGAAACAGAGGTAACTAGCCTGGGGTTAAGCCCAAAAGTAATGTTGCTCTTAGAACACAAACACAGCTTTCCCTCGCTTTACGCGGGTTCTGTGCATGTGATTTCACTCTTATGCGGTGACCCTTTTTATACCAAAAATTCATTATATGCAAGGTAAATTCACTCTTATGCAGGAGTGATGCGCACCAAAATATAGTCTCCTGTGTGGAACTGTGCTCCTCGCTTGTGGTCTGTGATGCATGTTTCTATAGGTGCCATCCCCATTATGGCTTCTAAGTGTCCCGCTAGCTTATCTCCTAGCCCTCTCCCCAGTCCATCAATGAAGCACAAGAGAACTTCACTAACACTGGAGACAAAACTGGAGATTTTGAACTGTGCAGAAGCTGGTGAGGGGTCAGAAATGTGGTAGAAATGGGTCTGGGGATCAGTACAGTCAAGTCTTAGAATGCATCCCTATTTGTTACATTGTAAAGTGGGTTCCCTTTATGCAAATTTAAGTTATGCGCCATTTTCCAGGAATGCACATACAGCATAAAGTGAGGGAAACCTGTACACGTTGTGGCAAGTGCTTTGTATTTTCCATAGAACTGTTTTACTTAATTAGAAAGTGATGTAAATAAGAGAAAGAGGCAAATACCGACCTTGCTATTGAATACTAAAAATAACATTTTAAATAAATGGGTGGAAAAAGTCTCTCTGCAACTAAAACATAAGACATCTGCTTGGGTTTTCTTGCTATTTATACTCACGTTTATAGATTCAATTGGGCCAAACTCCTCCAAAAGACTTCCAACATCTTGTTGAGTTGTTCTTTTGTCCAGTTGTCCTACCCAAAGTGTAGTACTACAAACTAGAATTAAAAAAAAAAAATTTTTTAATTAGAATTTTAAAAGTTTGACATGTTACTTACTACTAGTACTTTTAATGCAACCCTTGCGGTAGAAAGCTCATTAAAGATTAACGAAAGATTTTTGCTCCTCCTGAAGAGGATACAAAACAACATCAATCTTTCAGAACTATCTAAAAGCTATTTCCTTTTTTCCTTCCTTCAGGAGATGAACTCAGGGTTTCACTTGTGCCCTTTACAGTAGTCAGTATTTTAACCACTGTTAGAATACATATACAGACTTCAAATTTCCCAATACTTATCTGGGATTTTTGACATTCATGAACTTTGCAATTTAACATAACAAGGAAAACAATCCCCTTACACTCTTAACAGCACAGACCTATGGATCTGCCTGATGTGATGGATAAACACTAAAGCAACAATGATGCTATTGCTATAGATTTCCATTGCAGTCCAGTGCAGCAGGCTGCAAAGGAAGAGACAGTAAGTATGGAAGAAGCTGGTACCTAACTTAGTTGTGGTACCAGGCACAACATTAGAATGGTCTTGCCTGTAGCCAGGACAATCCAGTAAAAGTGAATGACTTTTTTTTTCTTTCTCTGTGATATTCCTGATACTGTTCCCTTCTATGCTTCAAAGATGAAGATGTATGTTGAGTATATTAGGTCAGAGAGAAGCAGGCAAGAAACATACGCAAGGTTTTTATAACTCAAGTCATTTTTTAGATTGAAAATACTTCAATATACCAGCTCCCACAGCCACCTTTCATAGGTCCTTAGCTTCTGTTTTCCCTTCTCCTTTGACAGGTCCCAAGCAGTCAGCCCCAGATGTCTCAGATCTCAGTGGCAGTTAAAATGACAAATGAATTAATCAGGCAAGGTGTTGGCAAATCAGTATCTAAATCTCTGTTGAGGTGCTTGGCAAGATTAGTTATCCTTCTGATAGTGGCACCGAGTCACCCAAAAGTCTCCGCTGTTCAAAAAATCCTTTAGCTGTTGCCAGGTACATGTCAAAGAAAGGGTCTTGTCCTGGACTAGCATTATAATCACGGTTTTATTTTGTCTGACTCTAGGAATTCCTTCACATGCTCAAGGAGGACTTAGAAAAAAACCTTCCTATAATTCATCTAGAAATGTAGACAGAATCAAGGTCACAAGAGTGCAGCATTGTTGGTTCCCACATTCCCTTCACAAATATCTCATTCAGATTCAGACCTACTGAACAGAAAAACAGAAGCAGTCTGCTCAACCAAAAGAGGCAAAGACTATGAGAGAATATCATATGACTAGAGAGAAGCAGATGAATCCCAAGGCACAGAAATACTCCAATAAGATGAATTATCCAAGTACAAAAGGATCTGGAAAACAGAATGCAATACACTAACTCCAAGTTAGCCTCAGAATAAGCTAAACTATCCTGTTATGGTTTAGGAGACTTTATCCAGATGGGCCTCAAAAATTCCCATGGCAAAAGGCACCAAGGTAAGTCCAGACAATCCTTAGCACAAGAAGGAGTGGACTTAACCTTTCATTTGAATCAAAGAAAGGATTTCTAATGGCCTTCAAGGTGGGGGAATCATGCAGCAGTGCAGGAGAGGTAAATCCCAGCTTCTCCCTAGGAAAGCCAGTCTTGATCTGAGGCATTGCAGAAGCCAGGAGAGACAGACACACCTGTAAACTAGAGAAGACATAACTGCAGTCCCTGGTGCATACTACCCTACATCCCACTCTGATCCTCAAGTCTGATATTTCTGCCTTCAGAATTCTGTTTTTCATTTGAAGACAGATCCCAACCAATCTAAAAGCCTAGGCCTACCTACCTGTGCAGATAAACTGGGTAATGGTCCATCATTAATGCCAAAATGAGACATCAGCAGACTGCCTATGTCCTTAGACCAACACTGCTACAACCAACACCCCTGAAAAACGGGACATCAACTTTTGTCAAGCTAAGCAGGACTGTCCCTCAGCACTAAGGAGTCAGCATGAGCTGAAATTTTCCAGCACTGAGGATCCCTGGCATGAGCATTTCCTGAAACATATCCGACACATTTTGCATTGATATCAAATTTCATATAGGTCTTCCATTATGAATCTTGACTACAGTGCTAACTTAGACACAGATTCCCTTCTCACAGAATTAAGATAATGACATAAACGCTGCAACAGTTTACAGGTTATTTATAATCTTGCACAGATCCAAGACCCTTTATCTTGACCAAGTCAAAGAGCTTGAATTTCTTGGGTTTCCTTAACCAGGAAACCTGAAGCAAGTGTTTATTGGCCGTCTTTCTGGGTTCACTGAGTGGAAGATCAACAGAAGCACTAGATGGAAAATAACCCTCAAGGTAGGAGACAGACATATCAAGGACATGACTGGAATCAGGCAAGACACGAGCCGTTTAAAAAATGCCATCCTCAACAAACTTAAGTCAACTACCCAACCTATGGAGGCAAAAAAAACAAACAGTGGAGAACTGGAAAATACAAACCCTTACACTACTTACAAGTTATATTAGGCGTTTGAGAAAAAAAGCTTACATTTCCTCAAAATGAAGAATGAATGCCTAATTCTGAGGATTGTACATCTACACATGACCACAGTCAGAATGAACAGAGCAGATGAGGCAGCACTTCCTAACTAACCTCATCTGTCCACATTAAGTGTGCATTCAGAGGATGCTTGTGCATTAAGGAATACAAAAAAACCACAGGTTACTGATGCATTAAGCATTTTCCCTGTTCACTGAACATCTTTTCTTGGGAGGGCATAGATTAGTGGGCACATTTCCTTATGTTACTTTAAACTAGTCCAGAAAGGGTAAAATAGTAGCCCCATTCTTTGTCACGCTGAGCAGAAGCTGCATGGAACGGGCTTTATTAAATGCAAAGAACTCGGGTCCACAGATAATGCCCCAAAGCAGTTCTTCAACTATCATACACTTTATCTCATTAGATTTTAGGGGCATTTTTACATGTGCTCCAGGGGTGGGTACTTTAATTACAGTGACTCTGAGATCCAAGATCTGAGCCTTAATTAAAGCATCTGGAGCATCTTGTGTATCAGTGTCTCTGCACTTCTAAATGGCGGTAGGGGTGCTTTACCTAAAGCTCGAATGAGTTTTAAAGTACCCCTGCTGTCATTTAGAAGCATGGGAATGCTGATAAACAAGACATGGAGGCTGGCTGGAGCACAGTAATTACCATGCTCCGGCAGAGTGTGTTAATCGAGTCTGCTCCGATGTGCTGTAATTACAGTGCATTGGAGAAGCCTCCTGGCTCATGTACAGGCACCCTAGAAGCTTAGTTCCACATCTGAATTTTTAGCTGTTTTATTAGTTGCAATATTTTTCTGAAAGTGCACTCAAAACTAGATCTGTAGAAAGCTTAAAAAAAAAAAAGTCCTGACATTTTGCACAAAATGAACCTGTGAACAGAAAGACTGAGAATCTGAGAAGCAGTATAAGAACAAATTTGCTATCTTTGTTACAGAAGTAAATTGAGTTGAGAGAACTCACCACTAACAGTTTCTGGCTTGATTTGAGGAAGGCCTTTTGACCTGCGTTCTCTCTCCCTCTCTCGTTCACGTCTCTCCTGAGATCGAGACTTAGGAGAGTGCCGGCGCCTATCCCGAGATCGGGAGCGAGAACGACGATGACGTGACCGTCGAGACCGAGATCCAGATCTTGATCGTCTTCTCTTGGGCGATCTAGTTTTAAACAAAAATATTTAAGCCACACTATTTGTTATACACCATCATGGGCCTACAGACAAAACACTCTAGAGCAGGGGTAGGCAACATTTTTTGGCCAGAGTGCCGAAAAAACGACAATGTCTACCCTGTAAGGTGCTGGAGTGCCAGCACACCACAAAAACAAAAAACTGGGGTGTAGTGGGTACATGGCAGGATGCACTGCATATTTAATACTATTAATAATCATTAGTGTTGCTTTTTTTTTTTTTTTTAACAGTAAAAATTAGAGAGAGAGTTGGCATCAGGCAGGAAGCGGGGGCTACTCCAGGGCTCTACTACTTGGGCCACAGCAGGGGGCCCAGCAGCACTGGAGGTGGGGCCCAGCCACCCTGCCCACAAAGGGACACTGCCTGGCTGGGGCAGGATGCCAGACACAGGGGGTTCCTGCTTGGTCTGTGTGTGTGCCGGGTACAGTGGGAGCGGGAGCTGCAGCCACAGGCTGTTCCCCAGGCTCTGGGAACAGCTGCCGCAGCCAGTGCTCAGGGCCAAGCCAGCCGGCAGCCTGCAGCACAGCGGCTCTGTGCAGTGCCTGCCCCAGCGCTGGCCCCTTGAGGGGAGCTGCAGGTGGGCAAGGCCAGGACCAAGGCAGGCCGAGGCAGCCGCAGTGGCTGTTCCTAGGCTCCAGTGGGCTCCCATGGCCAGGCCCCTGCACTGGGGACTGCTCTGCCCTGCCTGCAATGTGCCCAGCGTGCAGGGAGGCCGATCCCGGAGAGGGAAGCCCCCCCGAGCCCAGCTTCCTGCCCCAGCCAGACAGCATCCCCACGTGCGCAGGGTGGTTGTGGCCCATCCCTGTGGAGCTGTGTGGGCTGCCCAGGCCCCACCACGGGTGCTGCTGGGCCTGCCTGCCCGCCCACCACAGCTCGAGCCCGCAGAGCCCCAGGCAGCCCCCGCTTCCCACCCAGCCCCCGCCTTCCTAAGGGCCCGACCGGGCTGGCTTGCCTGTGGCACCTCCCCCCACGCCGCCCAGACCATCCCAACCACCCAGCCCCAGCACTTGGCACCTCAGTGCTACCCCAGGTGGGACAGGGCGTCTGCCTGCCTGGGCAGCTCCCTCCAGGGGCCAGCTGGGCTGGAGGGTGCAGCCTGGGAGCACGGGGCGGGGGCAGTAGTGCACAGACAGCCGCCCTCCCTGCATTCTTCTAGCTCCGCCCCAGTGCCTGCTGTGGCGCTGACATCTGTGACTGCACAGGAGAGCCTGGAGCAGCAGCTTAAACCCCCCCCCAAACCCTAATTTCTTTGCATGCCAGGAAAAATGTCTCCACGTGCCGCTAATGGCACGTGTGCGGTGGTTGCCGACCCCTGCTCTAGAGGATGCCCTGGCTCCTCTAAAGATGGGGAGGGAGAGGCTGTGTGGTATGTTCTGTAGCACAGCAATTGTTAGGGGGTGGCTAGAGGTGTGAGGATTGGAGGTCTCCACTGGAGGGAGCTACCTGTGGCAGGAGGCTGACCCCAAGGGGTTTTTCACAGGATTTGATGGCTAGGTAAGAGTAAAGATTTGGTCAGTTTTGTTTTACCACACTGTTGTCAAAGCATTTTCATCATTTTTTTTTCTTTTTTTAATATTTAGTCTTCCTCTTAATAAGCCCTTTGATTTTTCTGTTATTTAACAAATTGTCCATGGTGAAATTATTATTTCAGGGCAAATTAATAACCTGGACATACCCACTCAAAAGAGTAGGGGACTAATGAGCTTATATACAAGCCAAGGGTGCATCTTTAGGAGCACCCCAACACGTTAGGGTTTTGGCACATCACATTACAAACTTCTATTTGACCCATAAAAAGCAACAATTCAGTTGCTGTATTTATGAAAACTGAAATCCCTTTATAATATGGGAAGCTGCCCCAGAACTGAAGTGTCACACACCTCCATAAATGAACGCGTACTCACTTGCCCTGTGGAATCTAACTGTTCTGTGCCAAGTGAAACAAGTTCAACAGGGGAGTACAAGTATGTGCCCACAAAAAAACCTACAGTGCAGTGGCTGGGGCACTACCCTGGACATGGGAGATGTGGTTGATGAACACTGTCTCACCACCACCATTTTTTCCCCCCAGTGTTTCGTGCACAGCTTGATCTGCTAAGCCTGCCATGAGAATACTGGTCAATCAAGCCCATTGGACAACACTAGGGAAGGAACAGTTCCTAAATAATAAACAGACTTTTGCTATGACAGATGTGGAGCTCTGTCATTATTGCAGTGCCTCTTGGCCTCCTTAGCTGCTTTCATGACGAAAACTTCAGTGCCTACATACAGTCTTTAGGCATCTCCTCAGCAGCAGCTGAAGGGGGTTTTTGCATGTAGAAATTAGGAGGAACCGAGACACCTAGGGTGGGAGGGGTTCTGTAAGAAGACTTAAGGTGACTCATTTCAAGCGACAAAGGCAAAGCAGAGGTTTGCATTCCCTGAACCTCAAGCTGTCCTCTAGGTCCCAAGGTTCTTAAGCTGACAACCACACACAATTTTGCAGACAAAAAACAAACAAACTTGCCTTGAAGCAGATCTAGATCTTGACTTTCTGTTATCAGAAACATGTCGCTTTCCTTCTTGAACAGGGGGCTGTTCCACTTCCATTTCCTAAAGTGACCCACAAGTTAAAAGGGTGTCATTATTGTAAGAATTTTATTTCAGTCAATTAAACCCTTCGCTGAGGTTAAGCTAAACTAAACTAATACTTAGCTCGGAACAGAAACTTTCAAACAGGTCCCCTTCACACACTACTTTTTTGTGGGTTCAAAGTGCAGTTCTTGACATTTTTTTGTAACACGCCAAATATTCAGGCAAGCTGTCCTGCAATAAAAATGGCAAACAAAGCTGTAACTGTAGATGCAAACTCCCTCCACAACCCCCAGATCCACAGTGCCCATGCAGCCAGATGCACATGCCCTGTTTCAAGGTGCACAGCACCAGCAGCTGAGGATCAGACAGCTTCACTATCCCCAGCTCCCTCCACCTTGGCGGGTAGGTGCAGCCAGCTGCATGTCCTGGCAGATGTGACTCAGATCTGACAAGTTTCATCACAGATCCCGAAAAATCACTTGGACCTGCCACGCACGCATGGCATGACAGGAGCGACTCTGGGGATCTGCAATAAAATAAATCAAATCCCACTCACAAAACAAAGTTATCATATTTCCTCAAACCCAAGATAAGGCAGCAAAGGGGGGGGGAAGGAGACTGTAATTGCCCAGGGGAGCAGGCAGTGGGAAAGCAGGTTCAGGCACTGGAGATGGGGAAGAGACAGGATGGAGATAAATTTAAGACACCCCCCTCCCCACCAATTAGGTTCTATACATGGAAAATTATAAGAAATTTCTAATTTTCTACACAGAGAATCTAATTATTGGTGGGTCATCTTAAAACCCAAGTTATTTCAGATTCAGGTAAATACAGTACCATCTGGAGGAGGGTCACAGAACTCTTATTTCTCTTCTAGTCACCAATGGAAAAAAGAGTTCAACATTAATGAGCACATAATGTTTTAAAATAAAATCATCTGAAACCCTCAAACAGTTTTTTTTTTTTTTCAGTTTACTTAAAATGTCAGTGTCAGACAATACGTATTTCCACGAAAAAAAGTATGATCAGAGTAACTTTAAAGACAGTAGTTTTAAAACCTTTTTAAGCTTATCACTGTTACAATTTAGATCCAAAACCACCACTCAGCTGATCACTAATTTACATACTAGTAAAAAACAAAAGATTTTACTTAATTTCCAACTCAAATTCTCAATTTTCAATCTTAGCTTGAATTTTTTGTTTGAACAATTAAATCTTCAATCAAGCAAAGATTAACATTACTGGCAAAATGAAGTCTACAAGTAGGAAACTGCTTGGACAGATGTTATGAGACTCCTTTTTAACCCAGCCTAACCTTTCTTCCCCCACTCTCTCAGCTCCACCCCAAAGATTTTTTTAAAAACCAAACAGGCCAAAAACTACTCAAAAGCTAATTAAGAGATGTGCAGTTTGTACTGTGTACACCAAGCCATTTTTGAGGCATAAGCAAGAAAACAGAACGGTTCTTTTAGTTGACAAAAGGCTCTAATCAGCAAAGTTCTTGAAAAGTCCCTTTAAAAACTAAGTATTTTTCAGACTAGACAGTCTCTCTCTCTCTAAAAAAAGGACAATTTTGTTCCAACTATAAAGTTTTCTTATAACAGGGAGTCGGTCTGAAGTTGACCACCTGGAGTTAAACATGTTTAAAGATACTCAGGGAGACACCTCAATTGTATACATCCACACTGGGCATGTCTACAAGTTCATTAAACATGCCTTAGATACTGAGCATTTAGTTTAATATTTGCCTAATAAAGTACTAGCACCGCACATGTTTTTTCTGTGATGCTTACTGCATATTAGCTTAATAATACTGCACAGTAGGTTATTAGCATGGTTTTTAACCACCACGCTACTGCGCAGTGTTATTAGGCTAATGTGCAGTAAGTGTCTTGTGGGGAGACGCCCATTATGTATAAATAGCCAGGTACTTTGCCAGAAGCCCACTAAATAGCCTTCAATGCTTAAGTCCATAATTAAGTAACACCTATTAACAAAGGGAGGGGAAAATTCAGACTAAGATATTCCCTATTGTGAGAAGAAAATTAAAGAGACAATTGAAAAGACATATACATTGTAGTAATTTGGGAAAGAACCGAGATGCGCTCAAATCACCGCTTTTCACATTTCTTTATAGGAGGCTCTATTTGTGACCTTCTCTAGAAACATTAGAAATCAATATAATTAAAAAGACAACCACCCTTTGCAGATGTGTGTGGTTTAAGAATATTATACTCATTAATTTATCACGAACTGAATTTGTTTCAGTGCCTTCCATCAATTTGAACTATGATGTCATTTGCCTTAACTGCATCCCAATTTAGCTAAACTGGTTTGTAAACCAACTTATGTTGGACAATTTTTTAAAACAAAACTTCATAAGTCACAGGCTTTTTAAAATGATCTTTTATACTAGATCGGGGTATCAAACTCACCCTGGGCCCTCGGTCATATCAGGACCATAAGGGCTCCTTCAGCACCAGATCCATAAGCCAGCGGCAACTGCTTCAAGTCTGGGGCTGGGAAGCACATTTGAGAAGCAGGATGGAGTTGCATTCAGAGAGCAGCACATGGGGGGGCAGCATATGGCAGCATGGGTCCATATTTGGGTGGTGATGCACATCTAGAGAGGCCTGCTGCTGATGGCCATGTCTATCAGGGTCTAGGGACCCTAAATTCTGGGGCAAGCCCCCCAACATCCAATAACCTGCCAGATGGAACAGTTCTGCAGGCTGAATCTGCCCCACAGGCCATACATTTGATACTCCTGCACCAGATGGAACAGCCTTTTCACAAGATCTTACAACTTCTGCCCAGACCTCAAGAGAACTTGCTTTTCTTTTTTTAATTCTATAGTCCTATAAAGGTCAAGTTTTTAAACTTTATATTCACATCTCTGCAAGGCCTTGTTATGTTCAGATCAGAATGCCCGATAGACTTATAGATAGTTTCATTTAAACTTTTGTAAAGCAAGAAGAATTCAGACCAAAAAAAAAAAAAAAAGGTGCTGTGCTCCATCCTCTCTCATGCAGAAAAGTGAAATAACTTTAAGGGAATGGCTCTGATGTTCATTGTGTCATTCTGTTAAAGACTAGGGAGGTGGGGAGGAGCAGGGTTTATACTTGACAAAACATTCAGTTTACCAATATAGTGCTTCTTTTTGTAGAGTGTTATAAACTGATTCAAACAAGTTTAGCTTCCAAAAAGACGTTAAAAGTTTCTATTACATAACTAAGCTTTGGTTCATGAAGATGGAAACATAATGGTTAGTATTCACATTTTCCCCAGAGGGCAGAGAAGATTCCTGACATCTTTCACCTGGACACAGCCTTTGGAGAAAGCCACCAAAAAGAAAACACAGAAAAGGTAGATTGATACTGCTGTCTTTTGAACTAAGGCTATATTTAGAATATTCAGTTTAAAAGACATATTAAGTATAGTATGCCTTGAATATAAAACTTTTTCCTGAATTGAGTACTCTGAAAAACTAGTTGACACTTTTTCCAAAATACCCTCCCCCCTCAAGTTCCAGGTCATGGTTTTCAACTACTTTGGTTATGGAAGTAACTAATATATGCATCAGGACTCTGGCAAGATACACTTACAAGAAGGACAAGACTGTCATTTCAGTAAAATGGAGAACAAGTGTGTTACTAAGTAACCACAGGTCCAACTCTCTCAAGTCTCCTGGCTAGATGAATTCTGTAAGGGGGGGGGTAGGAAAATACATCTATATAGTTTATAAATTCATATATTGCAAAGACAGAAGATACAATTTTATTTACCCATCTTATTAACTGAATGGGATAGCATCAGTCTTTCCCTCAGCATCAGGAATCTAGTATCTTGCTACTGCTTGAAACAAACAAACTGATCTCTCAAACCCCAACTCCTGGAAGACTAAAGCATTCTTAAATTCTGCTCTTCCTCCCCGAGTCAAGGACTTAAACCAAAACCTAAACTTTGCCTAACAATGTAAAGAGATTTAGATACTTTGCCCAAGACAAAAGTCAGGAGAATTATGTTCTGAATAAAAAGAATGTGGGCCTCATTTTTAATCACAGGAAAAGTGGTAAGAGCCTCATGCATCTTTAGCTTTAACTGTTTCAAATTCTGAACAATAGCTGCTGCTTTTGTATTCTTGTAAGAACTAAATTTTCTGACAGGAATACAAACTAACGCACACCTCTCACCTGATAAGGCAGACAACCATGGTAAACTAAACTATAGGTCCTTTAGTCAGAGATTTTCCTCTGTTTGTGTTCTACCATCTTAGAGACTGGAGGACTTAAGTGATGAGTGCAATTTCTTTGAAAAGATAATAATTTTACACTGAAAGACTTAATGCCGAGACAACTATTGTAGACAATGGTCCACTGAGCTGAATATGAGAACACGTTCAGTTCCAGATGAAAGACCTGCCAAACAGCTGCAGCAGAATGTCAATGTATGGTCCGAACCAGCTCCTTGATTTTTGTAATGGTTTAAAGCAGGGGTGGGCAAAACGCGGCCTGCAGAACGGATCCAGCCTGCGGGGCCCCTAAAAAAATTCAGAAAATTAATATTCTCTGCCCTTGGCTCCTGTCAAAAGTGACAGGAACCAAGGGCACTAGGACCCATGGGAAGCCCCGGCAGGCTCCCACAACAGCAGGGCCCGCTCAGCCCCCCCCCCCCAGCCAGAAGCCCCAGCAGGGGGCTTCTGGCCTGGGACCATACGGCTGCCCCATGCTGGAACTGCAGAGAAGGGGGAAGTGGGGGACAAGGGCAGGGAAGGACCCCGGGAAGGGAAGGAGCCCACGGAAAAGCCGAGTGCAGGGAGGGGGAAGTGGCCCCTCCCCTACCCTGTGGCCGGCACCCTGCACTGCAGCTACTCGCAGCAGCCTGTGCCTGGCTCCAGACAACCTTGTGCAGGCTGCAAGTGGCTGCAGTAGGGAGTGCTGGCCATGGGGCGGTGGGGGCAGGAGGGAATAATGACATTTCCCCCCCACCCCCTGCACTCAGCTTTTTCCCAGGCTCCTTCCCTGCTCCTTCCTGGGACAGAGGAAAGCAGCCCTTTCCTGCCCTGTGGCCAGCACCACCCTGTAACCCAGTAGTGTTTGCCACTGCCGCCTATGGGCTGCCCAGCACGTGAGCTCCGGGCAGGCAGCAGCAGCCAATACTGCCTGGTGCAGCACGTGGGGGGGCTGCAGCTCCTGCTGCCGCATGCAGCCCCCATGGGCAAGCCTGAAGCTGGCGCGGAGCCCCGGCTGGCAGCAGGGCCAGGTTACAAGTTGGTGCTGAGCGCAGGGAAAAGCGGCCCCTCACTTGCCCCATGGCCAGCGCTCCGTGCTGTAGCTGCTCACAGCCCACGTGGGGCTGCCTGTGCCTGCTCCAGACAGCCCTGCATGGGCTGCCAGCAACTAAGCAGGGAGTGCCGGCTATAGGGTGGGCAAGGGGCCGCTTTACCCCATGCTCAGCACCAGCTTCTTCCCTGCCAGCAAGCAAAGGGTTGGGGCTGTACACTGCCCCCCACCTGTACTGCGAGGCTGGGGGAGCCCAGCTCCACAGACCCCTGCCAGCCTGTGCCCCACTGGTGCTGGCCTTGGGACATGAGACCAATGTCCCAATGTCTTGGAACCAAAGACATTGGGACATTTGTCCCAAGATGGTGACCAGGGGGTGAGGCACCTGTCAAGGGGCGGGGCTACCCATGCATCCCTCGACAGCCTGCCAAAACTGGGTAAGCGGCCCTCCACCCAAAATAATTGCCAGCCCCTGGTTTAAAAGGAAGCAAGATGTTTCTAAGAGTGCACAGCCCCTGGATCTCATGCATGTTGAATCCACAAAAGGAGCATCTTCCCCAGGGGATCACAAAAGTGTGTCAAAGATTCTAGGTTATTCGCTGGGGTCTCTGAAACACCATCTACTACAAGATACAAGGGCTTATCATCCAGGAAGTGAAATGGAGAAGGGACCCACCAGTAAAAAAAAATTCTTGGAAAAATACAGGAATCCCACAAAAAAGGTCAAGGAGAAACACTGTTAATAGGGATTCTCTCACTTTTGACAGCTTTCTCAAGTATGAGAGATGAACGGAAACATGCAGGACATTATTAATGTTCCCTGCTAGATGTCCTGAACCAACAGAGAAAGAGTGGTCATGCTGCAAAATGCACCTTACTGCCAAATTTTCAAAAGCATGTCCAGGACTGGGGTGAAACCTCATTATTTTTGTGAGCCAGGATTAGTCTTGGATAACCAACTGTCTCTGCAGGGTTAGAACTTGTAAAATTACACACCAGGATGATATGGTCTGCCAAGAACCATTTCTCTGTTTGGGTTGAAGGGAAGCTACAAAGGGATATGAATATTCATGTAACACAATACCCAGACTGACAAATAATAATAAAAAAGGTCTAACAAAATTTAAGTAAAAATTTGTTTACTGACCCTTTCATAACAGAAGCCAATCTCACTGAGTCCATAATAACCCCTTGGGCAGTCAAGGAGAAGCAAACAGTCTGTTTCCAAGACCCTAATCCAAGTCTTACTCAAAGAGAAGCAGACAAATTTTCATACTGCTTCTGCTAGAGAGGCAGAACACTGTACTTGTGGTATAGTTTCTGGAGAAGCACTTTGGCCACCAAGACTTCACAATGAACTGATTTTATGAGCATCTATGGGCATGGTTTCCATTAGTAATGTGTTCTCCTGACAGACTGTCTGCACTTAAAACACACTTTAAAGCAGTAGGAGACAAAAATGTATTCAATGGCAAGGGTCCTCACCTGCTGATGTGTTTTCTGCATGTGTGGTGGCTCGCTTTGTACTGGAAAAGGAGTCTGAAAAGTTTGCTGCACAGGTGGTGTTGGGGGTATTACAGGCTGAGCCATAGGAGGAAACTGTGGTGTAGGTAGAAGTCCAAAACTTGGCATTTGTCCATTGGGAGGAAGTGGAACCTTTGGAAAAAAAGAAAAAAAAAGTGTGCATTTTAAGTTAGTCCTTCCTGAAAAAATTCTAGTAAAATGATACACTTGGCTTGATAAGAAGCTGTTCTGAGCAAAACAAGTATAACAGTCTTAATTTTAATATGTAAAAATGCATATTGACATGCTAAATTTTTGCATACATCTCTGCATATGGGCCCCCCTTGTCATGGCCCCTTTTCACAGGTGTGTTAAATCCTGTAGTAACTGCTTTAAGCATTCTAACATTTTCTACTCTCGGTAACTGACATTACTGTAAAGGTCCTGATGCAAAAAACATTTTGCACATGCTTAAGTTTGTGTTACCATTAAACCTCTGTATTCAAAGTTAAGCACATATGTCAGCTATAAGTACAAGGCAACTAGTAAAAAATATTTCTTCATACTCAATATTTATGCTTCCATTTCTTTGCACCACAAATGTTTCATGAATTCTGTATTACCAATAGATGCTATGAATATTCAAAATTGCAATAGCTTTATGACAGAAAAAAAGTCTTAAAACTACCTGGTGGCGTATTGGATCCTGTTGCATTCCCATCATTCGCTGTTGAAATGGATCTATATTTGGGAGTTGTGGATATACTGGTGGTGGCATACCTTCTCCTGGAAATCCACTAAACAACAGACAATTACTCTGCAGCAGCAAGTTAATATTACAGACATAAACATTCAGCTTTTACTATGTTTTACTGCACATTGAGTTTTTACTGTATTCTTACCGTACTGAATTTTTTTTATACATTCATGTGTTTTTACTCATTCTTCCCTTAAAATTAAGATTAAAAATTCACCAATTCTGAATCCACAATACTTTCAACACCTTTTCAAGAAAAAACAAAACAAAACAACAAGTGTTCTCCTATAACTCTCCACAGTAAGGAGACTCGCTAGGAGTTTTTTGCAAGATTCTATGTCAAACACTGAATTATAGGCAGTGCTGCCAAAATTAAAGTCCACATAAAAATTAATGTTTTATCCTACATAAAATTGTGAATTTGCTGAACTTTAAGCTATTCAGGCTGAAGTTCTCTACACTGGGTGTCTACCCTAGGCTAAACACTATTGCTTCACTCTGGTTTTTAACAAAAAGGATTTACCTGTTTCTGAGAACAAAGGATGGGTAAAATATTCTTACAAGCTGGTTGATCAGCTTTAGTGCACCTACACTTTGGAATCTGAATACTGGGTATGAGACGGGCTGCGTCTCTCACTGAGGGATCAGATATGTGCCATTTGCTGCTAATTCAAGCAATAATATCCATAGTGCTCAATGAATTAAATCAAGTTTACTTAGTTAACATGATGGTTGTGTTTGCCTCTGTTGGAAAAGCTGGATGGTTTGTAGTAAATAAGCTAGGACTGCAGAAAGAGAAGAAGAGTCGCATACTATGGCAGCTGAAAGGAAGTGAGAATTTGATATGAATCCTAATTCTGCCACAAAATGTGAGAGATACTAAATAAGTCATTTACACCAAACTTTTTAGTGTTTCTTATTTTCTTGGTGCTCAGCTCAAGAGACTCGGGACATGACTATCACTGAAATCAACGGGACTTGCCCTTTAAAGTGGTCTAACTACATTAATTACATTGAAAAGTCAAGTTCCAGGATGTAAAACTGGGCAATCAAATAAGGGCACTTTGATAATGACTCAGATCCCACCAGTAAACCTGGAAAAATATTTCAGTTTACTTCACTGAGGTATTATGAAAATAAATTAAATATCTGTGAAACCATCAAGGTCCAAGGTGATGTGCATGATTAAAAAGCTTTAGGAGACTAATTCCATATTTAGAGCAATATTTTGATACGTATACAGTACACTTAGTGTACCTCTACTAAGTGTACAGTACATATAGCATTGGATGAAAAAAGCTGAATAAACCATTTGAGCCCCATCCAGCTTGAATGATGAGGGTCCGGGATGGGGGGAAGAATATATGTGATCATCATGTAATTAAAGACTATAATACATATATCACAAAGGGGCTGAAATCAGTTTAAACAGTCATCCTTACTGCAGGTATTTTTTAACTCGAGTGCTAAAAGACTAACTGACTTCGTACTTTTAAAAACTTTTGTTTGCAATTTTACTTCATGCTTTTTTCTATATGTACTATATATAACCAAGCTGTACCAGCTACTAAAAACATACTAATCCAAATGTTCAAAACAGCATCCAACTAACAGCCAGCAAAGTAGACAAGTGGATTTTAATTAAAAAAATGCCCCAAAATATCCACCTTTATAAACAAGTGAATGACTGAAATTTTGAATCTAGAACCGAGTTCTTGACTACCTTATAGAACACCTTCCCCACTCAATGTGACATGCCAAACCCTCATAACTCTACCATTCAAACAAGCAACATGGTTGTTACTATCTATGGCCAAAGTAAGAGCGTAGCAGAGTTCTCAAATAGCTTGGAATTTTAACAAAATGTTTTGTTATAAGTCTCTGTCTTCCTAATTTGGAATATTTTACTATGAATTCAAATAAGACTTACAAGGCTGGTTGGGAAATGGAAGGAGAAGGTGCTGTATCTTCTTTTTTTGAGTCATCCACTGCTTCCGGTTCATCGTCATAGTCAAAACGATCTAGCAGCTTCTGAAAAAAAGTTACATTGAACCACCTCTACTTTTCATGACTAATTGATACTTGACAACCAAAATACTTCTGATATAAATACTTTACTAGAAATTTGGAAACTTTGCAAACGAAGGAAATAATTTCTTAATTAATTCAAAAGAGTGAAGAAACATTTACCCAAAAGAATGATCTAAGCCACCCTAAACCATTTCTATTCAACTTTTGAAAGCAACAAAATATATTTTTGCTGAAATAAATCAAAATAGAGTTAATCAATTGGAATCAACAAACCAGAGGGCATCTGTGGGTTTTTGGTTCTAATGGTTGGGGGGG